TTCTTTCTTTCTTTCTTTCTTTCTTCCTTCTGTTCTTTCTTTCTTTGTTCGTTTTTTTTTGTTCCATCCTTCCTCCTCTTACTTTCTTCCTTCTGTTTTTTCTTCCTTTCTTTCTTCCTTCTATTTTTTGTTCCTTTCCTTCCTTCTTTCTTTCCTTCCTTTCTTCCTTCCTTCTGTTCTTTCTTTCTTTCTTTCTTCATTTTTTTGTTCCATCCTTCCTTCCTCTTTCTTCCTTCCTTCCATTTTTTCTTCCTTTCTTTTGTTTTTTGTTCCTTCCTTCCTTCTTCTTCCTTCCTTCCATTTTTTTATTCCTCCCTCTTTCTTTCTTCCTTACTTCCTTCCTTTCTTTCTTTCCTCCTTCCGTTTTTTCTTCCTTACTTCCTTCCTTTCTTTCTTTCTTTCTTTCTTCATTCCTTCCATTTTTTCTTCCTTACTTCCTTTCTTTCTTTCCTCCTTGTGTTTTTTGTTCCTTCCTTCCTTCCTTTTTTTCCTCCTTGTGTTTTTTGTTCCTTCCTTCCTTCCTTCCTTTCCTCCTTGTGTTTTTTGTTCCTTCCTTCCTTTCTTTCCTCCTTGTGTTTTTTGTTCCTTCCTTCCTTTCTTTCCTCCTTGTGTTTTTTCTTCCCTACTTCCTTTCTTTCTTTCTTTCTTTCTTTCTTTCTTTCTTTCCTCCTTGTGTTTTTTTTTCCTTCATTCCTTCCTTCTTCTTTCTTCCTTCCCTTTTTTTCTTTCTTTTATTCTTTTTTCATTCCTTCCATTTTTTCTTCCTTACTTTCTTTCTTTTTTTCTTTCTTTCTTATTCATGACGAGAGATAATTAAAAAAAAAAATTAAGATTGTGGAATGGAATGGAATATTACATTACAATTTAAACATTTAAAGGGGTCATATAATGATACATGCACTTTTTCAAGTTGATTGTACTGAAATGTGTGTTGGCAGTGCCTGTACACAACCATCATATAATGATAAAAATCCATCCAGTGGTTTTGTTTTAATCTCCTTATATGTTTTCCCCTGCCTCAAATCGAGCCGTTCGACCGTGTGACGTCACACGCTCGGAAGCCCCTCCCACGATTGTTGATTGACAGGCGCGTTTCAACACAGACCCGCCCTCGCTCGTGAGCTGTCAATCATAGTCTGCGCGGACCGGCGCGGTCATTGTTGATATGCTGGAGCACTGTCTATGAGCAGAATGGCGTCTAAGCGATTGTGGTGTTCTGTTCTTGGGTGTAATAACGAACACAGTCATTTTGATGTTCCTAAATCCGAACCGCTGAAGACGCAGTGGCTGAGTTTGTTTTCGAAGGGAATATTCCCCACGATCAACGTCAATGCTCTCATGTTTGCGTGAATCATTTCACACACCAGACTGCTTTATAAACGAGGATCAGTGTAAAGCTGGTTTTGCTAAGAAGCTGCTCATGAATAAAGAATCGGTATTCGTGTTCCTGCTGAACCTCTAGAACAACTGAAGTGAGTGTAACGTTTTATTAAACTTTATATTAATATTTATATCTTTGCAAATCGCTTCACGATGAATGAGTCTAAGGTTTACACTCAGGGTACATTACTGCATGTTTTCTATGTACGACGTTCTCAATATAATTCATAATCCCACGTTTATAATGAACAACACGTTATGGTATTGTGTTACAAACGTGTACGCATAGAACAGAGAGGCGGAGTCAGCAAAGCTCATTATCATTTAAAGTCATATGCACTGAAACGGCGTGCTGAAAACAGAGCTGTTTTTGACCAGGTAAAATGAGTGTTTTCTTACAATACTAATGAGAATTTTTAATTAAAGTATATTACAAACTTTTAATTTAGACCCTAAAGAATGATATTTGCTTGTACAAAAATGGCATTATATGAGCCCTTTAAAGAATATTCTTTCTTTAAATAAAATGTTTTGGGGTTTTTTTTAAGACTAAAATTGGATCAGAGGAGTAGAAGTACAATCCAGTACAATATGTTTAACGGACAGCGGTTTCTGACAAGATGAACAGAGAATATGAATAAATATCGTGTAATGGGAAATGATCTAAACATGTTCCTGCGAGTTCATCCTCAAATGAAGATTCAGAAAACTCCTCCTTCCACGTTCCAGATAAAATAACAGCATGTGGATCTGAAATGATGAATCGTAATGTTGTCATGGACAAATGCTTTCACACACAGAGCGTATGATGTGTTGACTGACACACACAGACGAGAACAGAGTTTTGCGGGTCAGGCTTTAACGCTGCTGAAGTAAACGAGTTTGGACGGCAGTGACAGCGACTGTCAGAGCTAACTGAGATTATTCAGTGCCTGAAGCGACACACACATCATATCCAACGAGCTTCGTGGAAAACTGGAGGCTAGAATAAAAATCACCTGATACTAAACGGCTCTGGTCTCAAATGTCAGTGTCTTGTACTTTATCACAGAGTTCATTTGGATCAAATTGACACAATCTGGTGTCAATATGAGTCAGAAAGTCACATAATGAAATAATGATTTCATAAAGAGCAGCTGTTTAATAACACATCAGTGTTATTCTGATTCATGTTCTGTCAAGGTTTTCTCAAAGTTATGGACAAACATTCTTCCAGTAAAATTATTAGAATGTTCCTTCAGTTTTCTGGTCTTTAATAATGTTCTCATGTTAAAACGTTATTTATACATCGTTCATGGAACTTTTATAAATGTTAGTACTTGTTTCATAATGTTCATTATCATAACTGCAAATGATAAATTGGAGTATTGGAGTAAATTGCTGAGTATTTTCTGCTTAAAACTGCAGTGAACCAAAGACAGTCTCAAAAACACGGTTTGAAATCGCTGGTGTTTCTGACGTCACAAACGACCTTGTAACCAATCAGAGTTTTCTGGTCTTTAATAATGTTCTCAGAATTTTTAAACATTATTTATACATCGTTCGTGGAACTGTTTTAAATGTTACTTTGTTTCAGAATGTTCAGTTTGAAAAATAAATTTATTTATTTATATTTATTTAAATTTTTTATTTAAAAAAAAAACAATTTATTCGGTTCAGGTCACATTCATTATCTCTAGTATGTTTAACTTTATTACAATCTTCAAACTAGATTTTCTTATGTTGGTCCAACTTAATTTTTTTTTTTTTTATGAATTTACACTACCGTTCAAAAGTTTGGGGTCAGTGAGAATTTTATTTTTATTTTTTGGAGGAAAGAAATCAATACTTTTATTTATCAAGGAATAATTAATTTGATCGAAAGTGACAGTAAAGACATTTATAATGTTACAAAAGTCTTTAGAACTTCCCATTCATCAAAGAATCCTAAAAAAAAAAAACTGTAACTGACAGACCAACAACTGTTTCAACACTGATAATAATAATAAACGTTTCTTGAGCATCAAATCCTCATATTATACTGATTTGTGAAGGATCATTTGACACTGAAGACACTGACACTGGTGATGCTGAAAATTCAGCTTTGATCACAGGAATAAATTACACTTTACTATATATTCACACAGAAAACAGCTGATTTACACTGGAGTAATATTTAATACTATAACTGATTTTTGTTGTATTTTTAATCAAATGAGCGCAGCCATGGTTAGCAGAAGAGAATTCTTTTAAAAGTATTTAAAATCGTACCGACCCCAAACTTTTGAACGGTAGTGTACATCAAAATGTTCTCAGTGTGGCGGCATTTGTGTGAAATACTCAGAGAGAGAAAAAATTATTTAATATCTGACATTATTTAATAAAGCAATAAGCCACGAGAAGCTGCATATCCTGTGATTTAACCCGGCTGTTCTTCTGTACAACACAAACTAAATGCTTTAAAAAAAAAAAAAAAACAGCAATACGATATAAAACAAGACATAATAAGTCATATTTGATAATCATAATAGTCAATTCTTCCACCAAGTAATATAGCTAACAGTAGATTGTTTAAGGTTAATGAACAGAAACACAGTGTCAATTAAAACAAACAAACAAACAAAAACAAGATGAGATAAAAATGTAGCAAATCCATCTCCAGATTTCATAACTTTCCCCATATGCTGCCATATAGAGTCTCAGATATAACCGGTGTCTGCACACCCTATGACAGAACTGAGACGAGACACGAGAAAACCCTTTCCTCGCGGTGATGTGACCCGTCTGTCACTCAGCAACAAGCTCAACCTTTTAGCATTTGCAATCATGTGCTAAGTGAATCTGTTTCCAAGGCAACCTGGGTTCCCTAAATTCCCAAGAGAGGTGTGTGCTGGTGAGCCTATTGTTTATTTCCTTTTTAATTTGATAGATATAAAAAAAAGAAGAAGAAAAAAATAATGAAATATGGAGGTTGAGCACAATATTCTTCTTTTTTTTTTTTAAGATGACTAGCCTACTTTACCTGCAAATAGAGAATATATTGTGTTTATTCATTTTTATGTACAAAAACATATGTTTAAGTAAAGCGAATCAGTGTGCGAATTACTGAATAACTCAAAAAATGGAACATTTCTTTTTTTTAAATGGAATATTGCAGTGTTTATTCTAAATGATTTATAGGTGCACATAATTATTGTGTTAATAATCTAGAATCAGAATAACAGCGACATCTCTTCTCTGATGACGAGGGCGGGGCAACCTGTCACTCACATGAGATCCACCAATAGCAAACCACAAGCATTCAATCATCCAATCAATTCCCCACAGACAGAGTCAAGCCCCGCCTACATTTGTTCTTGTTCGCGAAGCGTTTCACTGGGATATACGGACCAATATGGGGAATTAAAGACGACCGCAAATCTCTTGTATATGAAGATCCTGGTTCAAGCTTTGAACAGAAACCCTCCATAATTCGTACCCTAATAATATTCCAATGTCCCTCCCTGATCAAAATCCACTCACGAGTCACCACTTTGAAACAGTTGCGCATGCGCAGAGAGAGGCGCGGAGCTGCCCGAGTGCTGAACCCCGCGCGCGCCTGTGATTTAAAGAGATGCTCCAGCACTGACACACTCGACACACACACACACACACACCGTTTCATCACAAGCAGGATTTCTCTTGTCATCTCTAATGGTGTTTCCTTCAAGCGCGGAATGATTTTAGGAGCTTTGCGGGTTTTTTCGTGGACGCGGTGCGTCTCGGTGTCGGATAAACCATGAGAATCTGTGCTGAAGTGGTTCTGGGTTCACCTGAGGAAAACTGTGCTTTAGATCGAGAGAAAACACGACGGGTGTTCGGGAATGACTCGCCCTTCTGGGAAACTCCTCTCAACTTTACTCGCGTGTTTAATAGGAATGCTCAACTTCAGGTATGTACTTCAGTCATTACTTCCAGACGCGACTGTTAAAGCAACATTAGTCTACATTAGTCATATATTAGTATGCATATCGTTTATAAGAGCGTTTCGGCTCGTTCTCCTGTGCGCGGTTGCTGACGTGCGTTGCCATGGCAATTAAAGAATGCTCGAATGGAAATTAGAACGTCAAAGAAAACATCAAAGAAGAATCGGAAGTTACAGTTACATCCAGAAATGAAGATTCCATTCTGTTTCTGCAATGTTAAAGGAGGCCGGGGCTAGTTGTCACAGGTCTAATCATAATCCAGCTCGTCCTGTTGGTTCCAAACATATACAGTCAAACCGAAAATGTATTAATAATTTCTCACATTATCACAGTTTATTCGCTATAGTTTAGAAATATGAGCAGAACTCAGTGGATATTTGACTGGTTTTGTCCGTCCTTCTGTTAGACTCTCACACATGAATTATGTTGAATATCTGTCAGCTGTTAAATTTAACTACACAATTAGATAATACCAGTTTAGCTCAACCAGTGACCAAGCAATGCTTCATGTTGTTCAGTGTGTGTGTAAAAAGAGCATTAGCAATTGCAGAAAACACACTGAAGAAAACATGATCAGCTCAAAGTGGAGGAATCATTTTTGGTCCCAAATTTGTATTAATGTTACTGGTAGTCACTGTATGAAGAGATCTCACAGTTTACTTTATTTTGCTCTCCTCACTTACATAAATTAACTATATAGTGTCCTGCACACACTAGTAAAACAATATCAAAATGATATCTGGTGTCTGAATGATTTTTGGATTGACTGTGTACATATAAAAACTGATGCCATAGAAGAACCATTTTTTGTTCCATAAAGAACCTTTAATGGCTTTTTCACTACATTTTAATAATCTAAAGAACCCTTTTCCCACTATAAAGAACCTTTTGTGCGTTTGAAAGGTTCCACAGATTTGAAAGGTTCTTCACGGAATAATCAACGTCAAACAAAGAACATTTATTTTAAAAAGCAAAAGGTGGAAAATTAGAATGTCAAAGAAAATATCAAAAAGTCCAGTCAAACCAATGCTTACTTTCTCTAGCGGTGCTTTTGTTCGTTGGTTTCTAACACATTTCAAAGCAAATTTTTATTATTTTTGTGAATTCTGTATCATATTTTTGTAATATATGTTGGTTAATTAGTAAAAAAAAAAAAAAACACATTTACATACATTGAGTCACTATGTAGGTGAGGTATTTCTCATAAAATGTCAAGTTGTGTCACTTTTTTTTATTAATTATGATTTTTGTGTGTGTGTGTGTGTGTGTGTGTGTGAATAGTGTGACAACATGCCCCACTGTGAGGGCCAGTGTGTGTTAAATGCCTGTTTCTTATTCTTCCTGGACAACAACGGTGGACATTTTTATGTATGTGTGTCTAAACAGAAACTAACATTAAAAAATACACCTTCCCTGAAAAATATTCAGTGAAAGTGTGACAACTAGCACTAGCACAACTAGCTGTGACAACTAGCCCTAGCACAACTAGCCCCGCTGTGACAACTAGCACTAGCACAACTAGCTGTGACAACTAGCACTAGCACAACTAGCTGTGACAACTAGCCCCGTTGTATAGCCTCATTTAAAGGTGAACTATGCAGGTTTTTTACCTCAACCGGTCAGCTTCGGAGTCATTGGAATGGTTATATTACTCTTTCCGGGTTGAATGGTGGTCGTTTCGCACCCCCCTATCGCATGTGAGCGTAAAAATCACACTTGCAACTTTGAGCCGGCGGCCCGCAGGCCGCAGCATCAGGAAGTGTCGTGTGATATCAGGTCTCGCGATGTAACGAATTGCTTTACGGCAAAAAACAGATCTGATCAAATTCTGATAAAATGAGCATCAAACAGAAATAACCCGGCGCCGTATACATGTGGTGTTCGAGGCGCACTTACAATACAGACTGCCGACAGTTCAACAGGGCGCGCGCAGCTCTTAAAGGGGCCATATCTTATTTCCACTCGTGACAGCGTCCATCCTACTGAACAGGTACCGGTGTACAGGGGGAGGGGATCCGGCCGTGAGTGCGAGCCATCTCTGCGTGAGTGCTATTCACGATAGTACAAGTACTCCACAGCGACTCTAGGGGTCACTGTTTGACAAAAACGGAATTCCTACTTGGTGCTGCTTTAATCCTGTTATGCAGCTTGTGTGCCTTGATATGACCCCCCCGTTTAACAGGTTTACTGATGTGATGTTTAGTGAATGTTTACTGATGTTTACTGATGTTTAGTGATGTTTAGTGAATGTTTACTGATGTTTAGTGATGTTTAGTGAATGTTTACTGATGTTTACTGATGTTTAGTGATGTTTAGTGTATGTTTACTGATGTTTACTGATGTTTAGTGTATGTTTACTGATGTTTACTGATGTTTACTGATGTTTAGTGATGTTTACTGATGTTTACTGATGTTTACTGATGTTTACTGATGTTTACTGATGTTTAGTGTATGTTTACTGATGTTTACTGATGTTTACTGATGTTTAGTGAATGTTTACTGATGTTTAGTGTATGTTTACTGATGTTTACTGATGTTTAGTGATGTTTAGTGTATGTTTACTGATGTTTACTGATGTTTAGTGAATGTTTACTGATGTTTAGTGAATGTTTACTGATGTTTACTGATGTTTAGTGATGTTTACTGATGTTTAGTGATGTTTAGTGAATGTTTACTGATGTTTAGTGAATGTTTAGTGAATGTTTAGTGAATGTTTACTGATGTTTAGTGTATGTTTACTGATGTTTAGTGAATGTTTAGTGAATGTTTACTGATGTTTAGTGTATGTTTACTGATGTTTAGTGAATGTTTAGTGAATGTTTAGTGAATGTTTACTGATGTTTAGTGAATGTTTACTGATGTTTAGTGAATGTTTAGTGAATGTTTAGTGAATGTTTACTGATGTTTAGTGTATGTTTACTGATGTTTAGTGATGTTTAGTGAATGTTTACTGATGTTTAGTGAATGTTTAGTGAATGTTTACTGATGTTTAGTGATGTTTAGTGATGTTTACTGATGTTTAGTGAATGTTTACTGATGTTTAGTGATGTTTAGTGAATGTTTACTGATGTTTAGTGATGTTTAGTGATGTTTAGTGAATGTTTACTGATGTTTAGTGATGTTTAGTGATGTTTACTGATGTTTAGTGAATGTTTACTGATGTTTACTGATGTTTAGTGATGTTTAGTGTATGTTTACTGATGTTTACTGATGTTTAGTGATGTTTAGTGAATGTTTACTGATGTTTAGTGTATGTTTACTGATGTTTAGTGATGTTTAGTGATGTTTAGTGAATGTTTACTGATGTTTAGTGATGTTTAGTGAATGTTTACTGATGTTTAGTGAATGTTTACTGATGTTTACTGATGTTTAGTGAATGTTTACTGATGTTTAGTGATGTTTAGTGAATGTTTACTGATGTTTAGTGAATGTTTACTGATGTTTAGTGATGTTTAGTGAATGTTTACTGATGTTTAGTGATGTTTAGTGAATGTTTACTGATGTTTAGTGAATGTTTACTGATGTTTACTGATGTTTAGTGAATGTTTACTGATGTTTACTGATGTTTACTGATGTTTAGTGATGTTTAGTGAATGTTTACTGATGTTTAGTGAATGTTTACTGATGTTTACTGATGTTTAGTGAATGTTTACTGATGTTTAGTGAATGTTTACTGATGTTTAGTGAATGTTTACTGATGTTTAGTGAATGTTTACTGATGTTTAGTGAATGTTTACTGATGTTTAGTGAATGTTTACTGATGTTTACTGATGTTTAGTGAATGTTTACTGATGTGATGTTTACTGATGTTTAGTGATGTTTAGTGAATGTTTACTGATGTTTAGTGATGTTTAGTGAATGTTTACTAAAGTTTAGTGTATGTTTACTGATGTTTACTGATGTTTAGTGATGTTTAGTGTATGTTTACTGATGTTTACTGATGTTTAGTGATGTTTAGTGAATGTTTACTGATGTTTAGTGTATGTTTACTGATGTTTAGTGATGTTTAGTGAATGTTTACTGATGTTTAGTGAATGTTTACTAATGTTTAGTGAATGTTTACTGATGTTTAGTGTATGTTTACTGATGTTTAGTGATGTTTAGTGATGTTTAGTGAATGTTTACTGATGTTTAGTGAATGTTTAGTGAATGTTTACTGATGTTTACTGAATGTTTACTAATGTTTAGTGAATGTTTACTGATGTTTAGTGTATGTTTACTGATGTTTAGTGATGTTTAGTGATGTTTAGTGAATGTTTAGTGAATGTTTACTGATGTTTAGTGATGTTTAGTGAATGTTTACTGATGTTTAGTGAATGTTTACTGATGTTTACTGATGTTTAGTGAATGTTTACTGATGTTTAGTGAATGTTTACTGATGTTTAGTGAATGTTTACTGATGTTTAGTGATGTTTAGTGAATGTTTACTGATGTTTAGTGATGTTTAGTGAATGTTTACTGATGTTTAGTGAATGTTTACTGATGTTTACTGATGTTTAGTGAATGTTTACTGATGTTTAGTGATGTTTAGTGAATGTTTACTGATGTTTAGTGAATGTTTACTGATGTTTAGTGAATGTTTACTGATGTTTAGTGAATGTTTACTGATGTTTAGTGAATGTTTACTGATGTTTAGTGAATGTTTACTGATGTTTACTGATGTTTAGTGAATGTTTACTGATGTGATGTTTACTGATGTTTAGTGATGTTTAGTGAATGTTTACTGATGTTTAGTGATGTTTAGTGAATGTTTACTGATGTGATGTTTACTGATGTTTAGTGATGTTTAGTGATGTTTAGTGAATGTTTACTGATGTGATGTTTACTGATGTTTAGTGATGTTTAGTGAATGTTTACTGATGTGATGTTTACTGATGTTTAGTGATGTTTAGTGAATGTTTACTGATGTGATGTTTACTGATGTGATGTTTACTGATGTTTAGTGATGTTTAGTGAATGTTTACTGATGTTTAGTGAATGTTTACTGATGTGATGTTTACTGATGTGATGTTTACTGATGTTTAGTGATGTTTAGTGAATGTTTACTGATGTTTAGTGAATGTTTACTGATGTTTAGTGAATGTTTACTGATGTTTAGTGAATGTTTACTGATGTTTAGTGATGTTTACTGATGTTTAGTGAATGTTTACTGATGTTTAGTGAATGTTTACTGATGTTTAGTGATGTTTAGTGAATGTTTACTGATGTTTAGTGAATGTTTACTGATGTTTAGTGAATGTTTACTGATGTTTACTGATGTTTAGTGATGTTTAGTGAATGTTTACTGATGTTTAGTGATGTTTAGTGAATGTTTACTGATGTTTAGTGAATGTTTACTGATGTTTAGTGAATGTTTATTGATGTTTAGTGAATGTTTACTTATGTTTACTGATGTGATGTTTAGTGAATGTTTACTGATGTTTAGTGAATGTTTACTGATGTTTACTGAATGTTTACTGATGTTTAGTGAATGTTTACTGATGTTTACTGATGTTTAGTGAATGTTTACTGATGTTTACTGATGTTTAGTGAATGTTTACTGATGTGATGTTTACTGATGTTTAGTGATGTTTAGTGATGTTTAGTGAATGTTTACTGATGTGATGTTTACTGATGTTTAGTGATGTTTAGTGAATGTTTACTGATGTGATGTTTACTGATGTTTAGTGATGTTTAGTGAATGTTTACTGATGTGATGTTTACTGATGTGATGTTTACTGATGTTTAGTGATGTTTAGTGAATGTTTACTGATGTTTAGTGAATGTTTACTGATGTGATGTTTACTGATGTGATGTTTACTGATGTTTAGTGATGTTTAGTGAATGTTTACTGATGTTTAGTGAATGTTTACTGATGTTTAGTGAATGTTTACTGATGTTTAGTGAATGTTTACTGATGTTTAGTGATGTTTACTGATGTTTAGTGAATGTTTACTGATGTTTAGTGAATGTTTACTGATGTTTAGTGATGTTTAGTGAATGTTTACTGATGTTTAGTGAATGTTTACTGATGTTTAGTGAATGTTTACTGATGTTTACTGATGTTTAGTGATGTTTAGTGAATGTTTACTGATGTTTAGTGATGTTTAGTGAATGTTTACTGATGTTTAGTGAATGTTTACTGATGTTTAGTGAATGTTTATTGATGTTTAGTGAATGTTTACTTATGTTTACTGATGTGATGTTTAGTGAATGTTTACTGATGTTTAGTGAATGTTTACTGATGTTTACTGAATGTTTACTGATGTTTAGTGAATGTTTACTGATGTTTACTGATGTTTACTGAATGTTTACTGATGTTTAGTGAATGTTTACTGATGTTTAGTGAATGTTTACTGATGTTTAGTGAATGTTTACTGATGTTTAGTGAATGTTTACTGATGTTTACTGATGTTTAGTGAATGTTTACTGATGTTTAGTGAATGTTTACTGATGTTTAGTGATGTTTAGTGAATGTTTACTGATGTTTAGTGAATGTTTACTGATGTTTAGTGATGTTTACTGATGTTTAGTGAATGTTTACTGATGTTTAGTGAATGTTTACTGATGTTTAGTGATGTTTAGTGAATGTTTACTGATGTTTAGTGAATGTTTACTGATGTTTAGTGAATGTTTACTGATGTTTACTGATGTTTAGTGATGTTTAGTGAATGTTTACTGATGTTTAGTGAATGTTTACTGATGTTTACTGATGTTTACTGAATGTTTACTGATGTTTAGTGAATGTTTACTGATGTTTAGTGAATGTTTACTGATGTTTAGTGAATGTTTACTGATGTTTAGTGAATGTTTACTGATGTTTACTGATGTTTAGTGATGTTTAGTGAATGTTTACTGATGTTTAGTGAATGTTTACTGATGTTTACTGATGTTTACTGAATGTTTACTGATGTTTAGTGAATGTTTACTGATGTTTAGTGAATGTTTACTGATGTTTAGTGAATGTTTACTGATGTTTAGTGAATGTTTACTGATGTTTACTGAATGTTTACTGATGCTTACTGATGTTTACTGAATGTTTACTGATGTTGACTGATGTTTAGTGAATGTTTACTGATGTTTAGTGAATGTTTACTGATGTTTAGTGAATGTATAGTAAATATTTAGTGAATGTTTACTGATGTTTAGTGAATGTTTACTGATGTTTAGTGAATGTTTACTGATGTTTAGTGAATGTTTACTGATGTTTACTGAATGTTTACTGATGCTTACTGATGTTTACTGAATGTTTACTGATGTTTAGTGAATGTTTACTGATGTTTAGTGAATGTATAGTAAATATTTAGTGAATGTTTACTGATGTTTAGTGAATGTTTACAGATGTTTACTGAATGTTTACTGATGTTTACTGAATGTTTACTGATGTTTACTGAATGTTTACTGATGTTTACTGATGTTTAGTGAATGTTTACTGATGTTTACTGAATGTTTACTGATGTTTAGTGATGTTTACTGATGTTTAGTGAATGTTTACTGATGTTTAGTGAATGTTTACTGATGTTTAGTGAATGTTTACTGATGTTTACTGAATGTTTACTGATGCTTACTGATGTTTACTGAATGTTTACTGATGTTTAGTGAATGTTTACTGATGTTTAGTGAATGTATAGTAAATATTTAGTGAATGTTTACTGATGTTTAGTGAATGTTTACAGATGTTTACTGAATGTTTACTGATGTTTACTGAATGTTTACTGATGTTTACTGAATGTTTACTGATGTTTACTGATGTTTAGTGAATGTTTACTGATGTTTACTGAATGTTTACTGATGTTTACTGAATGTTTACTGATGTTTACTGAATGTTTACTGATGTTTACTGATGTTTACTGATGTTTAGTGAATGTTTACTGATGTTTACTGAATGTTTACTGATGTTTACTGAATGTTTACTGATGTTTAGTGAATGTTTACTGATGTTTAGTGAATATTGAGTGAATGTTTACTGAATGTTTACTGATGTTTAGTGAATGTTTACTGATGTTTAGTGATGTTTACTGATGTTTAGTGAATGTTTACTGATGTTTACTGAATGTTTACTGATGTTTACTGATGTTTACTGAATGTTTACTGAATGTTTACTGATGTTTACTGATGTTTACTGAATGTTTACTGATGTTTACTGATGTTTAGTGAATGTTTACTGATGTTTAGTGAATGTTTACTGAATGTTTACTGATGTTTAGTGAATGTTTACTGATGTTTACTGAATGTTTACTGATGTTTACTGATGTTTAGTGAATGTTTACTGATGTTTAGTGAATGTTTACTGATGTTTAGTGAATGTTTACTGATGTTTACTGATGTTTACTGAATGTTTACTGAATGTTTACTGATGTTTACTGATGTTTACTGAATGTTTACTGATGTTTACTGATGTTTAGTGAATGTTTACTGATGTTTAGTGAATGTTTACTGAATGTTTACTGATGTTTAGTGAATGTATAGTAAATATTTAGTGAATGTTTACTGATGTTTAGTGAATGTTTACTGATGTTTAGTGAATGTATAGTAAATATTTAGTGAATGTTTACTGATGTTTAGTGAATGTTTACTGATGTTTAGTGAATGTTTACTGATGTTTACTGAATGTTTACTGATGTTTACTGATGTTTAGTGAATGTTTACTGATGTTTAGTGATGTTTAGTGAATATTGAGTGAATGTTTACTGATGTTTACTGAATGTTTACTAATGTTTAGTGAATGTTTACTGATGTTTAGTGATGTTTACTGATGTTTAGTGAATGTTTACTGATGTTTACTGATGTTTACTGATGTTTAGTGAATGTTTAGTGATGTTTACTGATGTTTAGTGAATGTTTACTGATGTTTACTGAATGTTTACTGATGTTTAGTGAATGTTTACTGATGTTTAGTGATGTTTAATGAATGTTTACTGACTCCTGTCTCAGGATAACGGCAGGTCAAGAGAACGAGAGACTGTTCGCTCGGGAATCTTCATCTTCAATGTCGCCCTCAGATTTCCTGGACAAACTGATGGGCCGAACATCAGGATATGATGCGCGGATTCGACCCAACTTCAAAGGCAGGTTCAGTTCTGGTTTACGATCTCCTGAATGTGAATCAGTCAAACATTCTGATGATGCTTTCAGATATCAAGAGTTTCAGACTGAGTTACTTGTATTTCTACACATACATTCAACATACGTCAAAGAGCCAACAATATTCTTAATATATATATATATATATATATATATATATAAATATATATATACGTATATATATATATAATATTCACACACACACTACTGTTCAAAAGTTTGGGGTCGGTATGATTTATTTTTGAAAGAGTCTCTTCTGCTCATCAAGGCTGCATTTATTTGATCAAAAATACAATAAAAACAGTGACATATTATTAGAATTTAAAGTAACTGTTTTCAATGTGAATATATAGTAAAGTGTCATTTATTCCTGTGATCAAAGCTGTATTTTCAGCATCATTACTCCAGTCTTCAGTGTCACATGATCCTTCAGAAATCACTCTAATATGAGGATCTGATGCTCAAGACACATTTATGATTATTATCAGTGTTGAAAACAGTTCTTATTTTTCACATTTTAAAAAGGATTTTTATTTTCATTCAATGAAAATTTCATTTTAATTTTCAAAACAGCATTTATTTGAAACAGAATCTTTTGTAACATTATAAATGTATTTACTGTCACTTTTGATCAGTTTAATGCGTCCTTGATAAAAAAAACAAAACAAAAAACTCACCCCAAACTTTTGAACAATAGTGATAGATAGAAATATATAATTATGTTATTATTTACTCACCCTCATGGCGTCACTCCACATCCATATGCTGTTATTTATTTCTGTGGAACACAAAAGAAGAATTTTTTAAGAATGTTCAATGTTGGTAAAATTAAACTTATAAGTGAATGCGTAGTTATATTTTTCTTTACATATTTTCCATAACTTGCTTTAATTCTTTGTTTAGTGCAACAAATACAACCATAATGTAAATGACTTTTTTTCATATTACACTGATTTTTTTGTTCAATGCAACAAGAATTTTGGATGAAATGTACATAATTGATTAAATTAATGTCACAATGCAGAAAATCTAAAGGCTTCCTTTCATTATGCAAAATATAATTGATTAGTTTTGGGTGAAATATGACCGGGACAGATTATTAACAGATTCACTTTTCATTTGTTTTGTTTTAAACGGAAAACCCCCAAAAAAGGTCTAGTTTATTATCATAGATTAATGCATGAACCAACAATAAGCAATAACATTTTTAAAGCATTTAGGATATTTAATGACTCTACAAGTTTGATCAAACCATCAAAATATGAGGAAAACATTTGATATTTTTAAATATTTTAAATATGAGGGAAGAACTAAACTAAACTTGGTATTTATCTAACAAAATTATTAGTCAAACTACAGATAAATGTTTAATTTACAATGCAAAAAAAAAATGCACATACAAACGAGAGGAAAAAGCAAACATTGACTACAACATAATCAGTTATTAATATTTGGTTGATTCTCTCATTTTTGCATGTGTTCATAATTTCTTTGCCTGGACAAAAATGATGTTGCACAATTCATCATATTTCACTTGGACATTACTGTATTAGTACATGTTCAGATTAATAAATACTGTAGACGTGTTCATTAATGAAACCTTATTGTAAAGTGTTACCAAACACACCATAAAACAGCATAAAAGCATGATTGAAGTATCCGTATATATCCCTCATTCATCTGCGCATGCAATATTGAGAGCTTACTGGAAGCTGGTGGGACTTTGGTTACAGTATAAAATGTTTTTTGGTGCCTGTCAGACCGAAGGACAGGCTAAAGAACACAGTGGAGTTCTTCTGATGTATTATTTAAAGAGGCCATATAATCTTGATGCTGTTTTCGAGCTCTAGAACAGGTTTTCCTGGATGAATGTTGATTATTCTCCTCATATTCTCCATTGTTGCGGCTCCTCTCTTCCCAGTCTGTCAGTAACGCTCAGGACTGAGTTTCCCGAAAGCATAGTTAGCCAACTATAATCACAAGTTCTGTCGTTATCAGCAGTTCAACGAGTCAGTGTTTCCCGAAACCATTCTGACGAACATCCACAAACAGCGTCGCAGAGGTGTGTGTGTGTGTGTGTGTGTGTGTGTGAGTGACAGATCTCGAGCTGCGGTTAGAAGAAGAGTTTCATGTTTTCATGACATGTGGACTCAATAAATCCTGATCTTGAGCAGAATAATCAAGCTGACATTCAGTACAATCTATATCTTATATTTAGAATACACACAAATGTCATTTACGTCTTTGAGTTTGTCGAGAGATGTAAAGTGTGTGTTTGAAGAGTGCGCGTGTGTGAACGAGTCTATGAGTGAATCTGGAAATAAAGCAAAACAACTGAGAAATATGAGAAATATTCCTCAGATGACGTGTGTAATCTATAGAAAAACATCTAGCGTTAATTCGATCTCAAACAGATTCATTAAAAGTATTATTACTCCATCTGCGTGACATCATTAACCAACGTGGTTGAACGACCAATTCGGGACTATACGGTTTCGGGAAACAGTCGTGACGAGCTAGTGGATTTATAGTTGATTTAGTGAACCAGAGTTACAGCGTTGTACGGAAACACACCCCTGATTGGTTCCTGTCTCTATGAAGCCCCTCCTCCTGAAAGCACACTGTGCTCTGATTGGTCGGCTGGAGCAGTGTGTTGTGATTGGTCGAGCGCTTCGAGTGTGTTTGGGAAATGCCCCGCCCCTTTCCATAACCGCCAGTTTAACACACTACTAACTCACTCAACCAGGCCCCGCCCCTTTATTCTGCGCATTAATTATTATAATGAGGAATATTGTGACGTGTTCGTTCCCGGAAGAAACTCAAGATACAGTGGAGGCGTTTCAGGAGTTCAGGAACACTGATACTGATATAGAGGAGAACTGGAACAGCAACATTACACACTGAACACAGATGAACAAGCATAACTCTTGCATACCTGGCTTTATTTGTTGCTATTAAAGTATAATCTGAACATGTCTGCCACAGACGCTCGGGTGATTCTGGCTCGGCTGGATGTTTGAGCCCAGGAGTGATTAAAATGCAATCTTGTTAGAAAACATTCACGAGGTTCAGAATACCTCAGAGCCGCATCTAATGGACTATTTATAGTAACCGGCACCTAGAGTACTTTAATAAACTCCTTTCATGATTCTCAACAAGAATGACAGGGTATGATCTACTCCGAAATTAGCTGAGAGATATTCACTGAAAAGAGTTTAGAGTAGAAACAATTTTCACTTTGAATTAAATGTGAAATTATGTAGAAAAACTAGTATTTTCCAATAATAACTTTACAGTCAGTCTGTATCTGTTCACATCAACATCATCATGATCATTTTTAAATAGATATTTACTGTTTTATTTCTTGCATTAAACTTGAATGATTGTTCTCTTGAAATTATGTGTCTTCTGATTGAGAGAAAAAAAACGGTTTAATAAAAAACATTCAGAGCAATATTTCCACTGATTTGTTTATCAGACGCTTTTATCTTACAAATGAGAGATAAACAAAGTTATTGATTGAAGAGGCAGAAACACGAGAGGCGCTTTAATACAAGCCTCAAAAACAAACTGTTCAGAAGATTAAAGAAATAGTGAAGCACAGAATAGAGTTAAATATATAATAAAATTGGCAATTGATATGTATTATTTTAGTTACACTAAAACATCAGCGGTGATGCATTAAATTGATCAAAACATGTATAATGTTACAGAAGATTCTATTTTTAAATAGATTATGTTCTTTTGAACTTTCTATTCATCAAAGAATCCTGAAAAAAAATGATCTAATAAAAAAACATATTTTTCAACACTGATAATAATCATAAATGTGTCTTGAGCATCAGATCCTCATATTAGAGTGATTTCTGAAGGATCATGTGACACTGAAGACTGGAGTAATGATGCTGAAAATACAGCTTTGATCACAGGAATAAATTACACTTTACTGTATATTCACATAGAAAACAGATGATTTACATTATAATAATATTTCACTGTTTTTACTGTATTTTTGATCAAATAAACGCAGCTTTGATCATAGGAATAAATTACACTACTATATATTCACATAGAAAACCGCTGATTTACACTGGAATAATATTTCACATTTTTTACTGTATTTTTGATCAAGAAAAGATTAATTTTGAATGGTTGTATATGTCAGCTATGGGCTTAAATGGTGACTTCTTATGTTGCAGTTCATTGGTTTTTAACATCATATTCCTGCAGGTCCACCTGTGAACGTCACGTGCAACATCTTCATCAACAGCTTCGGCTCGGTGACTGAGACCACTATGGTAAGTGATCTGTGCTTTACGCCTTTAATAAAACACAAACTGACAGGAGTTATTGCCCCCGCCACGAACTCAACATGACATTAGCTCAGTCTCCATCCAACGCTGCAGATCTAACCGCTGGAACATGGCATAAAACACTTAAAGCAGCGTTTCATCATGCGTTCAAGAGAACACTTTCTGGGACACTGATGCAAAATATCAGTAATAAACTGTAAGTTTCTGCAATCGGCTGTTTCTCCCTCCATCATAAACGAGTGTGTGTCGAGACGAAACACAGTAACGCTGTCGTGTTCTCTGGCGTTCGGATGCTGGTGTTCGGGAACACACTCGTGTGTGTGTGAGACGCTTTTGGAGGGAACTACACCCAATCACTCTGAACACACACTTCGACTTTCAGAAACACCAAACCAACATTAGAGACGCTGCGACGCCATTGGTCCGCTGGATACGCCAGTTATCCAATCACAGCTGACGCTGAGTTTATCGTGGGGTTATTGTTGCACATTGTGGGATTTTTTTGATAAATGTTTTTCCAACAATTGTTTCCAATTTTTTTTATTTTTTTTTATTTATGCGTTTCCACACTGTAAAAAGTGTTCAGTTCACTTAAAGGTGCTCTATGTAACTTTTAGCGGCCTCTAGTGGTGATGTTTCAGATTGCAACCAAATTTTACAAGAGCGCTCGTGCTCGAACTCATAGACAATACCGTCTATTACGCAAATATCTCGGCGAATACTTGACGGATTCGGCGAGCACCGAGCTCGTTGGGACCATCTAGTCGAGCTGAAAAGAACCATATAAGTTCCATAGTTTTTGGTGGTGTTTTCGCTGAGATATTAGCAGAAAACCATCGGGCGCGCTGCAAAATTGCGGACGCCGATGACGTCACGATCTCAGAAGAAAATCGCTTGTATCTCCGGAACGCAAAGACCCAGAGAGCTCAAATTCGGGGGAGGAGGTCCCAGGGGAACCCGAACGCTACAGTGGCGGGCCTCGGGGACGCCCCCTACCGGATCGCCGTTCGCTGGGACCCCCGATTTCGAACGGCTGTAACTCGGGGAGCCGGGCGAGTTGGACCTCGGGGGTGGGCTCGTTCGAAAGGCCCCGTCCAGCACTACGAACGATTAGAGTCTTGGGAATATTGATCAAAGATTGACTGAGATATAAGCTGAAAAACGTGCGCCTTTAACCGGACGTAACTCCCTGACCGTCTACAATAGACTGTATATAAGGAGAGCGGCTCGGGAGCGCGCATGCACGTCACATCCGTTGGAATTCGCGGTAAATCCGACCTGGAGACTTCACATAGAAATAGGAATACTGGCCTTCAGAGGTAATAGCAAAACCCGACAAGTGGATCATTGTAATGTGTGATTACAACCCCTTCACACACAGGCAATAAAAAAAGGATTCATTTTAGTAGAAAAGTTACATAGAGCACCTTTAACTTAAATTGAAGAAACATGTTGCCTTATAATTATTAAGTAGCCTAAATAAACTTAATGCTTAATCGAAAAAATGAAGTAATGTGGAATTGTCAAGTTCACATAACTTAATTTTTTCAATTAAGCATTACGTTTATTTACTTAATAAGTAAGTGAACTGAACACTTTTTTTTTTATACAATATCCCCAATTTGCATGAAAATACTTGGATGGAAACACGGCTAATGTGTGTTCATTGTGAACAGTTTCTATGATAATTATGAAATCTTTGCTTGGCATGAAAACACGACGACTCAAACACTCAATATTTTACTGAAGTATGAGGTTATTGAGGGATTTATTCAGTAAAAATGTTTCCATCGTAGTTTATGCTCGTCTTCTTAACGAATAAAAAATATTCATTAGTCATTTTTTATGCACATTTTTAGAATTTATACTTTTCCATCCACTTTTTTTTAATGCAATATCCCAAAACGCACATAAAAATGGGTGGATGGAAACATGGCTAAAGACTCAATTTACACGTTCTTGTTGCAATCGTCATCAGAATGTACTTCTCAATAAACTCAATAAAATCCCATTAAGTCCCACTTGCATTTGGAAATAAGCAAGATTACGGAAACGGTTAATCGAGTCTTTTTCCACAACATTCCCTTGACGTTTCCCGGTCAATCTGTTTGGTTTTAATGAATCAAACGGCAAACGATCGTCTCGATTCGCTAGCAGGCCTGCAGTTCAGATGTTTGGAGATATTCAGACGCTTCAGGGATAAACAATTCCCAAATCTGGAGTCAAGTCTCATTCTTCTTTTCCAAGGAATATTACTGCAAAATCCCAACACATCTCAAGTGGATATTACGCACAAACAAGAGAGAAGCTGCTTTGATCAAATGCTAATGTTGTTTACATGTTTTAGAGCAACCAATCATTCATGAACAGCACAGAGAAAGTCAAATTAATTCAGACAAATGCGACATCTTTGAAAAAAAGTGTTTTAGCGTTTACGCTGTAAAAAATGATTTAAGTATTTAAGTATTTCTACTTCAAAGTTTCATATTTAATTCAATGTGTTATTTGCCTTTTTTTACTAGCAATTTCTGAGCAAAAATTGTTTATTGTATCCAAATGATAAACAAATGTAAGAACTACTCATTTATACCAGTAATTTAAAACACACAAACACACACGTTTTATATTTTGATGAGTTCATTATTTATCTTGGTTATTATATACGCAGCTAATTAACTTGGGTGAATCTTTTTGTAATGTTACAATTTGCTTGTTACGAGTGGAACAAAAGGTCTTGCCAATTCATTCATTCAACACAGTTTTCAAAGAGCTTCATCTCATGAAAACCTTGAATGGATTTCTATAGCTAAACTTTTACCAAAAACACACAGAAATGTTTACAAAGTTACTGAATGGCTTTGCAATGCACAGTAAAATCATGTCGTTCGAACAGAGAAAAGGAAAAATTACAACAATGCATGTTTTGTTCTTGATGGCGGTCTTTTATGAAATACCGTGCATGAAAGCACAAACGCTGTGAAACGCTTTTATCTTACCAGAAGGTCTGCTGATCTTCTGTCTGCATGCCAGCCGTAAAGCGTCTCTTGGGTGTTTTCTGAATCACAAAGTCAACATGAAAATATAGCTGGAAGCAGCCATTAATGGGCCAAGCAGAAAGAAGGCACGATACGTCATGCTAGCATGGCTGGGAGCATCAGGCCAGCTGCAATAAGGAGAAATTAAAGACATATTAAGATTATTTCAGGCAATATGGCAGTCACTAGTCAAATGATTTAATAGTTTATCACTTCCGACCAATAGGTGGCGCTGTGACCATATTGATGTCTTGTGGTCAGAGTGAGGTGACAATGACACATGCAAAGTTTGGTGTTAATATACCAAATCATTGCAGAGATAAAGCCTCAGAGTCGGTTTGGCATCATGAAAACTATATAGACACGAAATCCATAAATCTTTGTTGAATTTGATGAAAATCGGACCAGCGGTCTAGGAGGAGTTCGAAAATGTAGGTTTTTAAAGAAAATCAAAATGGCGGACAGGAAGTTCGGCCGACTATGGCAAAATTGGTATCAATGTTCTCGGCAAGACCAGTTTCATTACAATATGCTGATTTCACGCAGCCGTCATTTTGAAATGGCTCCGGTGGGAAGAAAACTGGAAGTGTCGCCTTTAATCACAGGAGAGTCGCGAATGCAATGGCGTATTGTTGTGTTTAATGTAGAAATTAGTTATTCTAAAAATTTACATACATTTCTTTCATACCTTAGACTATATACAGTGAAATTCATTTATAAATAAAATATTTTTTATATATATAATTCAGAATGTAAAAAAAGTAGCAGGAACGAACTATATACATGTCCTATATTGGATATTAACATCCAATAGTGTAAATCGCGGCAGCAGCTTCAGGTTGGTAGTCCAAGGCATTGTTGTCTATCTGTACTTCCGGGGTTCTTCCCACCGGAGCCTCGCTTTCGATTTCAAAATGGCGGCTGCGTGAAATCAGCGTATAGGCCAGTTTAATAAAAAGTTATTCTAATTTTTGGAAATTTCTTTATATCTTTTGACCAAAAGGTGGCGCTGCCCCGAAACGTTTTTGAGTACTGTCAGGGCATGGTGCCGATGACACATACCGAGATTCGTAATGATACGGCAAAAAATCGTATGTTCGTAAAATAGCATTTTTTTATAAACGCATTGTAAAAAATGGCCGATGCCCGAAATTGTTGATATGGGAAAGTTGGGTATTGTTCGACTCGGCTTGCTGCACCGAATCTAAAGAGACCGGTTTTATGAGTTTTGGCGAAACCCATTAGAAGTTATAAGCAAAAAGAGCCATTTTACATATCTCCGGACCACTAGGTGGCACTGTGCCGAAACTGTGCAGGTAGCCTCAGGTCATGCTTGTCAAAACACACACCAAGTTATCTCAGAATACGCTAAAGCGTTGCGGAGATATGACCTTGCGCCCATTATGGGGTGTTCTTCGTCAAATTTGTTTGCGCGTTATTCAAGAACGGTTTGACGAATCAACTTGATTTCCTTACATGGTTTGAAGATGATCTGACTCGAATTTGATGAAAAGCGGACCAACGGTCTAGGAGGAGTTCGAAAACGTAGCTTTTTAAAGAAAATCAAAATGGCGTGTCCGAAAAAGTAGAATTTAGTTTCTAGCCCTTATGGTTCAAAGGTTCTTAGGATAAACGTGAGTGCACATTTGGACAGTTGGTGGCGCTAGAGGGATTGAGTTACAGACTCCAAATTTGGTATGTTGACAGTTCAGACTGTCCTCTATCTGTGTGCCAAGTTTCATAACTTTCCTGCAAGCGGTTCTATAGACTTCAAGAGCGGAAGAAGACTAATAATGGGAACACTAACGATGACAATAGAACAGCTGCTCGGCCCCTAATTAAAAATGACCCGATTTACTTCCATTCTAGTCAGACTGACGGCTGAATATCATTTAATTCCTCCACTATAAGCACAAATGACCTTCTGCTTCCCGCACTCTTAAATATAAAGGGGTTTTCGCAGAAAGAACCATTTCAGTTCCCCAAAGAAGTGAGCAGTTCTTAAAAGGTTCCACGGATGTTAAAGCTTCTTCACCGATGCCAATAAAGATAAAAACCAAAATATATTCAGACACCTTCAACATTTCTTACATTATCAGTTTATTATATCTAACATATCTGTTAGACTCTCACACATGAATTATGTTGAATATCTGTCAGCTGTTAAATTTAACTACACAATTAGATAATACCAGTTTAGCTCAACCAGTGACCAAGCAATGCTTCATGTTGTTCAGTGTGTGTGTAAAAAGAGCATTAGCAATTACAGAAAACACACTGAAGAAAACATGATCAGCTCAAAGTGGAGGAATCATTTTTGGTCCCAATCTTTACTGGTAGTCGCTGTATGAAGAATATTTGGGTGTAATATCTCACAGTTTACTTTATTTTGCTCTCCTCACTCACATAACTGAACTATAGTGTCCTGCACACACTAGTAAACGAACATCAGAACTGATCTCTGGTGTGTGAGTGATGTTGCTGTGCCTGTACGTGTGTGTCAGGACTACAGGGTGAACATCTTCCTCCGGCAGAAGTGGAACGACCCGCGGCTGGCGTACAGCGAGTACCCGGACTCGTCTCTAGACCTCGACCCGTCCATGCTGGACTCCATCTGGAAACCAGACCTGTTCTTCGCCAACGAGAAAGGAGCCAATTTCCACGACGTCACGACGGACAACAAGCTCCTGAGGATCTTCAAGGACGGGACCGTTCTGTACAGCATCAGGTGTGAAGATCTTTAATCCACCGGATCATATTTGATACGCAACATGATCCGTTCTTTGTTCGCACACGATCTCTCCAGTCTTCTGTGTGTGACTGATAGTTTACAGTGTTTTATCAGTAAAAGCTCTTTAACTGTACAGACGTCCTCCTTCAGCTCGAGCTTCACGGGTCTCTACATCTGAACTCATTTTCATCAAGGAAACGCAAGAATAACTTTGATATTGTTAGTAATATTTCAGCTGAACTGAGGTTTACTTGATTATCCATCATCATTTATTATATATCAGTAGAAAGTAATTCACCTTGATTGATCAAATGACACAAATCTGTTTAAATATATGGTTAAAAATATGAAAATGTGCACACACAAAAAAAGGAACCCAATACTGAGCCAAAATACAGTATAAACGAGCGAGTCTGCATGTGTGTGTTTTGTTAAGAATCATAATCTGACGCATCAGGCTTTATGGCTCATATAGTGAGAATATGGATAAAAACAGCTCAGTTTTATTCAGAGCCTCAAACTGAGCAAAAATGGGCCATTTTCTGCAGATGCTGATATTTATATGAAATTTTAATGATTGTATTGTAAATCAATGAGATCTTATATGAATATCTCTGTAGTTTTAAAACATAATGCAATGCAATACAATGATGATTGAGAGACGAATAAATAAACCTTCCTCAAAAGCCTGATGATCATATTTGATACTCATGATTTTTCTAATAAATGATGTGTCTGGATAATTAAGTAAACCTCAGTTATAAAATATAACAATATAAAAGTTTTAGAGTAACAAACCAAATAACATCACATAATTCGTCAAATCCATTGCTAATACTGATAATCAAGCGGTTTGTTCTTTAACTCTCTGCACTGATCAGATATAAAGACATTATTAATATACATTATTATTATTAATCACGTCTGGTGTAGTTCAGCGATTCCCCGTTACACCGCATAAAAAGAGCCAAGTCATTATACATTAAAGCTGACTTTAACACCTCGAAGTGTTAGAAGAAGATGAAGAGATCACACACACACACACACACACACAGACAGACAGACACAGACACTCACACATAGACAGACACACACACACACACACACACACTCACACAGACACACTCAGACACAGACACACTCACACACACACACACACAGTGTCGGAGTCTGATACTGTTAAGTAAAACATGTATAAAATGTAATGATTGAAATAAATGGAAAAACAAGGCCATTATTGAACAGTGTTTTGGGGGATTGTCAGTTTAAAGGAATTAAATAATTAAAGGATCAAAATGATTTAAGGAATTACAGAAATATAAGTAAGAAAGGTAAAAGAAGTTCGAAGTCTAATTGTAGTTGTGAAGTAACTACTTGCAAAAAAATAGTTGATTTCTGACGCTTGTTCATCCCAAAAACGTTTTTTTTTTTTTGCCTTGGCCAAAATTAAAATTTTGAAGTTAAATTATAGAAATTGTATATTGAAATGATAGTTTTTAATATAGTAATTATATGAAAAACTATAATTACTAAAACTGATATAAATATATATATATATAGAAAAAAATATATATATTAATTAATTCTACAATAGTCTATAAATAATACTAAAATAACGCTGGACCAGAATGAAAAAAATGTGATTGTTTTATTAAAGCATTAGTTTTTAAAATAAAGTTTTAAATTCTGACATAAACTATTCATAAATCGTTCTGATTGTGCTCTAGTCAAAGTATTTTTCATAGGAGTGTTTTACAAGAAAATACAATTTCACTTTTAATTCAATGTCACTTGCTGTTAGCTTTTTTGTAATTATTTGTGAAATAATAATAATAATAATAATGCATTTTATTTAATGGCGCCTTTCATAACACCCAAGGTCAAATGTCATCAGGTTTAGTTTTCAAATCAACACATTAGCAAGACAGAAATATTATATTAGTATATTAGTGTTCACGCTGTTCTCTGCAGCTCTGATTGTAAATCGAGGAACAGAGAATCTCTGTTACGTTCTGTTTTGAAAAGAAGCTGATATGATGCTGTCCTAGTTTTCATAAATGATGTTCTATTTATATAAATCTGCACACATCAGCTCCTCGTCAGTGTCTTCATGCATAAGTCATAGTGTCGCTTCAGCTTCCAGGTGATGCCTTCATAGAGTTAACTCAAGTTTGATTTACAGCATCAATTATTTCAGATAAACGGCATTTAAAAACAATGCTTTGCACTTTACAATAAGGTTTCATTTGTTAACATTGGTTAAAGGATTAGTTCAGGCCAGGGAGTTAAAATTTCCTGATATTTTACTCTCCGTCATCCAAGATGTTCATGTGTTTCTTTCTTCAGTGGAAAAGAAATAAAGGTTTTTGAGGAACACACTCCAGGGTTTCTCCATATAGTGACTTCAATGGGGTCCAACGGGTCGAAGGTCCAGATGTGAGTTTCAGTGCAGCTTCAAAGTCTCGACACGATCCAGCCGAGGAATAAGAGTCTGATCTAGACAAACCAGCCGACATTTATAACAAAATACACATTTATATACTTTATACCACTAATGCTGGTCTTGCTCTAGCTGTGATGCGACACACGTTACGTGATCAGGGTGAAAGGTCACGCGGGACGTAGGCGTAAGAACAGATCTAGTGTTTACAAAGAGAACGTGCAAAGACTAAGACAAACGCCATTTACAAAAATAAATAAATAAAAGGTAAAACAACGATGTCGGACGATTTTGAAGTTTAAAGTTTTGAACTTTTTGACCTTTCACCCTGATGACGTAATGTGTGTCGCATCACAGCTAGAGCAAGACCAGCATTAAAGGTAAAACAACGATGTCGGACGATTTTGAAGTTTAAAGGTGACCTATAATTCAAAATTGAATTTACCTTGGTATAGTCAAATAACAAGAGTTCAGTGCATGGACATGACATAGAGTGAATCTCAAACTGGACTGTTTTCGCGTTCTCATTTAATTCACGTTTATGAAAAACACCCCTGAAAAACGGTCGGTTCTCCACACAATACCGACTGTGACGCAATAGTCGGGATCATTAATATGTACGCCTCCAAATATTTGCATAATGCCAGCCCTCAATGCCAGGCGGAACTGCGCAGCCGACGCATGGCAGTTGCTCAGTGTGGATGTACACATGAACACAAAAGTATTTTTTAGCTCCTTTATCTGAGCCTCTGAAGAAACAATGGGTTAATTTTATTTTCTCTGGAAATTTCCAAACATTTCACCGAGTGTTTCCTCAACTTGGGCCAATACAGAGCTGGCCTCGGATCGAGCTACCAAGCAACACTTTCTGATGTGTAATTGTTCAAGTTCAGACAGGTAATCTTTCTCTCAAAATCGTTCAATACTGTTTATGCATCAGTAAGTCAAGCCAGTGACTAAAATATCAGCTTCACATCGTTTCTTTTAGTAGGATGAAAATAATCGTATTTAAATTGTGAACAAATTATATACAGAAAGCGATCAAAGAACAATCTTTCCACACAGCGCGAGTTTATCTGGACACTTGCCAAAATCGTTATGAAATCAATGACGCACGTTACTGCACAACGAAGCTCTTACTGTATTTACATCATCGTGTTTGCATTGGTGAAAGCAGAGAGAGTGCAGAAACTGCTTTGCAATGATTAGATCTTCATTCTCGCGATCAACACACTGTCATCTGCTCAATGCTCATCACGGCAACATTTTATGTGATGGGAATAGATCTAAATACTTTAAAAACATCTCACGATTCGTTAATCTCGATAGCTGTTATAGTAAAAACGTATAATAGCAGTAGTAAAAGTATTCGGGAGAGAGTTTCACATGTAATGCGTACTAGCTATTTCATATGCAAGCATGTCAGCCAATCACAGCAGTGGCCGCGGTTACACTGAATCCCACAGCAGCCAATCACAGCAGTGGGCGCGGTTACACTGAATCCCACAGCCAATCACAGCAGTGGGCGCGGTTACACTGAATCCACAGCAGCCAATCACAGCAGTGGCCGCGGTTACACTGAATCCCACAGCCAATCACAGCAGTGGGCGCGGTTACACTGAATCCCACAGCCAATCACAGCAGTGGCCGCGGTTACACTGAATCCCACAGCCAATCACAGCAGTGGCCGCGGTTACACTGAATCCCACAGCCAATCACAGCAGTGGGCGCGGTTACACTGAATCCCACAGCCAATCACAGCAGTGGGCGCGGTTACACTGAATCCCACAGCCAATCACAGCAGTGGGCGCGGTTACACTGAATCCCACAGCCAATCACAGCAGTGGCCGCGGTTACACTGAATCCCACAGCCAATCACAGCAGTGGCCGCGGTTACACTGAATCCCACAGCCAATCACAGCAGTGGGCGCGGTTACACTGAATCCCACAGCCAATCACAGCAGTGGGCGCGGTTACACTGAATCCCACAGCCAATCACAGCAGTGGCCGCGGTTACACTGAATCCCACAGCCAATCACAGCAGTGGCCGCAGTTACACTGAATCCCACAGCCAATCACAGCAGTGGGCGCGGTTACACTGAATCCCACAGCCAATCACAGCAGTGGCCGCGGTTACACTGAATCCCACAGCCAATCACAGCAGTGGGCGCGGTTACACTGAATCCCACAGCCAATCACAGCAGTGGGCGCGGTTACACTGAATCCCACAGCCAATCACAGCAGTGGCCGCGGTTACACTGAATCCCACAGCCAATCACAGCAGTGGGCGCGGTTACACTGAATCCCACAGCCAATCACAGCAGTGGCCGCGGTTACACTGAATCCACAGCAGCCAATCACAGCAGTGGCCGCGGTTACACTGAATCCCACAGCCAATCACAGCAGTGGCCGCGGTTACACTGAATTCCACAGCAGCCAATCACAGCAGTGGCCGCGGTTACACTGAATCCCACAGCCAATCACAGCAGTGGGCGCGGTTACACTGAATCCCACAGCCAATCACAGCAGTGGCCGCGGTTACACTGAATCCCACAGCCAATCACAGCAGTGGGCGCGGTTACACTGAATCCCACAGCCAATCACAGCAGTGGGCGCGGTTACACTGAATCCCACAGCCAATCACAGCAGTGGCCGCGGTTACACTGAATCCCACAGCCAATCACAGCAGTGGCCGCGGTTACACTGAATCCACAGCAGCCAATCACAGCAGTGGGCGCGGTTACACTGAATCCACAGCAGCCAATCACAGCAGTGGCCGCGGTTACACTGAATCCCACAGAGACACGCCCCTTCAAACAGAGTGTTCAAATCAGAGGCTAAAAGCAGGCTAGGAAAAATGCCATTTATTTCTAAATTATGATTATTTTTTATCTAAAAAACATACTAACATTATAAGGGTAACCCAGGAAACATTATAAAAAAAAAAAAAAAAAACATTCTAGGGCACCTTTAAAGTTTTGAACTTTTTGACCTTTCACCCTGATGACGTAACGTGTGTCGCATCACAGCTAGAGCAAGACCAGCATTAGTGGTTAAAAGTATATAAATGTGTATTTTGTTATAAATGTGGGCTGGTTTGTCTAGATCAGACTCTTATTCCTCGGCTGGATCGTGTCGAGACTTTGAAGCTGCACTGAAACTCACATCTGGACCTTCGACCCGTTGGACCCCATTGAAGACACTATATGGAGAAACCCTGGAGTGTGTTCCTCAAAAACCTTCATTTCTTTTCCACTGAAGAAAGAAACACGTGAACATCTTGGATGACGGAGAGTAAATTATCAGGAAATTGTAATTCTGAAGTGAACTTTAACTGCATTGAACTAACATTTACAAATTCGTTTCATAATTGTTGAATTATTGAACTGAATTGAATCAACAATGAATATTTTTAGAGCTGCTTTACAGCAGAATTTATTTTTGATGAAGGAAGTTTGCATCCCTGATTCTATGTATCCAGTCAAGCTGCTTTGAAACAATCTGCATATAGAAATAAAAGTGCCTAACTGTGTCCCGTTGTTCCCAGGTTGACGTTAATCCTGTCCTGTCCGATGGATCTGAAGAACTTCCCGATGGACGTCCAGACCTGTACGATGCAGCTGGAGAGCTGTGAGTTCCTCAGGAGTTTCTTCATCTCCATCTCTCTCTTCTTCATCTCTCTGAATCTGTGTGTCTGTTCTCCAGTCGGATACACCATGAACGACCTGATCTTCGAGTGGCTGGATAATGGCCCGGTTCAGGTGGCTGATGGTCTGACTTTACCACAGTTCCTCATCCGAGACGAGAAGGACCTGGGCTACTGCACCAAACACTACAACACAGGTCAGAAGACACACACTCATAACTGATCACACTGGACTCTATTAACGATCGCCATCTCTTGTCTATTACAGCTCTGACCAAATCACACTGCAAAAAATGCTTTTCTTACTCAGTATTTTTTGTCTTGTTTCCAGTCCAAATATCTCAAATTTCTTAAATCAAGAAGCATTTACTAGAGAAGCAAAAGGACATAAGAAATTCTCTCGTTTTCTGAAAAAATTAAATTAAGTGAGTTTTTGCTTAAAACAAGCTAAATTATCTGTTAAAAAAAAATCTTCATTCAAATCTTAAAGGTGCCATATGTCAAAATTGAGGTAAAATTATCCAAAAAATTAGCTACACGCATCAAAAGAATGAGAAGAAATAAGTGCAATGATGTCATTAAAAAATTGACAAGTTATAGTGCTGCCGAGATATAAACCTAAATTAGCATGCTAAATTACTAGCGCCGGCCCGACTGGTGTCGTAATACCAGTTTCGGCCATGGGAGGCGGTATGCGGGCAACATACATAACCACCAGCCAAACTGCAGTACACGAATAACTCGCACGGCTTGTGGGCGTACTTGAACCTGATGTCGACCGGCCTTTATAATTTAGTGTTGAGATGTTGTTCATTGAGTCTCTAATCTCCAAATGAACTGCGGTCTTACTATCGTGTCAATTGATTTGATTAATATGCGCGAGGGAGAGAGAGAGCAGGAGGACTGCGCTCGTGTTGTTTGAAGACGTGAGAGTTCGCTCTCTCTCTCTGCTCGTTATGCGCCCTGTCAAGCGCAGCAGTCATTATATTCTACATCATTCACCGATCAAAATAGGCTTTGGCGGGACAAAGCGGACGATTTGACGGTTTTAGAAGCTTAACAAATCGAAACTAAAAAACAGACTAGAGTAGGCCAACTTTCTGGTGGTATACTGCCCCCATCTGGTATGGAATATGTGGAATATGAATTTATTTTTTGGCAGACATTCCACATGGCACCTTTAATTCTAAAATAATCTTAATTCAATTGAAAAACAATATTATTTTTCTTACCACATTGGAAGATAATTTTGCTTGTTTTAAGCAAAAACTCACTTAATTTTATATTTTTTTTCAGGAAACAAGAAAAAACTTGTACTCTACTGTACTCTACCTCTACTGCACTCTACTGTACTCTACTACACTCTACCTCTACTGTACTCTACTACACTCTACCTCTACTGTACTCTACCTCTACTGTACTCTACTACACTCTACCTTTACTGTACTCTACTGTACTCTACCTCTACTGTACTCTACCTCTACTGTACTCTACTGTACTCTACCTCTACTACACTCTACCTCTACTGTACTCTACCTCTACTGTACTCTACCTCTACTGTACTCTACTGTGCTCTACTGTACTCTACTGTACTCTACTGTACTCTACCTCTACTACACTCTACCTCTACTGTACTCTACCTCTACTGTACTCTACCTCTACTGTACTCTACCTCTACTGTACTCTACCTCTACTGTACTCTACCTCTACTGTACTCTACCTCTACTACACTCTACCTCTACTGTACTCTACCTCTACTGTACTCTACCTCTACTGTACTCTACCTCTACTGTACTCTACTGTGCCCCACCTCTACTGTACTCCAATGTACTCTACCTTTACTGTACTCTACTGTACTTTACCTCTCCTGTACTCTGCCTCTACTGTACTCTACTGTACTCTACCTCTACTGTACTCTGCCTCTACTGTACTCTACTGTACTCTACCTCTACTGTACTCTACTGTACTCTACTGTACTCCACCTCTACTGTACTCTACTGTACTCTACCTCTACTGTACTCTACTGTACTCTACCTCTACTGTACTCTGCCTCTACTGTACTCTACTGTACTCTACCTCTACTGTACTCTACTGTACTCTACTGTACTCCACCTCTACTGTACTCTACTGTACTCTACCTCTACTGTACTCTACTGTACTCTACCTCTACTCTACTCTACTGTACTTTACCTCTACTGTACTCTACTGTACTTTACCTCTACTGTACTCTACTGTACTCTACCTCTACTGTACTCTACCTTTACTGTACTCTACTGTACTTTACCTCTCCTGTACTCTGCCTCTACTGTACTCTACTGTACTCTACCTCTACTGTACTCTGCCTCTACTGTACTCTGCCTCTACTGTACTCTACTGTACTCTACCTCTACTGTACTCTACTGTACTCTACTGTACTCCACCTCTACTGTACTCTACTGTACTCTACCTCTACTGTACTCTACTGTACTCTACCTCTACTGTACTCTGCCTCTACTGTACTCTACTGTACTCTACCTCTACTGTACTCTACTGTACTCTACTGTACTCCACCTCTACTGTACTCTACTGTACTCTACCTCTACTGTACTCTACTGTACTCTACCTCTACTCTACTCTACTGTACTTTACCTCTACTGTACTCTACTGTACTTTACCTCTACTGTACTCTACTGTACTCTACCTCTACTGTACTCTACCTTTACTGTACTCTACTGTACTTTACCTCTCCTGTACTCTGCCTCTACTGTACTCTACTGTACTCTACCTCTACTGTACTCTGCCTCTACTGTACTCTACTGTACTCTACCTCTACTGTACTCTACTGTACTCTACTGTACTCCACCTCTACTGTACTCTACTGTACTCTACCTCTACTGTACTCTACTGTACTCTACCTCTACTGTACTCTGCTGTACTCTACCTCTACTGTACACCACTGTACTCTACTTTACTCCGCCTCTACTGTACTCTACTGTACTCTACCTCTACTCTACACTACTGTACTCTACCTCTACTGTACTCTACTGTACTCCACCTCTACTGTACTCTACTGTACTCTACTACACTCTACCTCTACTGTACTCTACTACACTCTACCTCTACTGTACTCTACCTCTACTGTACTCTACTACACTCTACCTTTACTGTACTCTACTGTACTCTACCTCTACTGTACTCTACCTCTACTGTACTCTACTGTACTCTACCTCTACTACACTCTACCTCTACTGTACTCTACCTCTACTGTACTCTACCTCTACTGTACTCTACTGTGCTCTACTGTACTCTACTGTACTCTACTGTACTCTACCTCTACTACACTCTACCTCTACTGTACTCTACCTCTACTGTACTCTACCTCTACTGTACTCTACCTCTACTGTACTCTACCTCTACTGTACTCTACCTCTACTACACTCTACCTCTACTGTACTCTACCTCTACTGTACTCTACCTCTACTGTACTCTACCTCTACTGTACTCTACTGTGCCCCACCTCTACTGTACTCCAATGTACTCTACCTTTACTGTACTCTACTGTACTTTACCTCTCCTGTACTCTGCCTCTACTGTACTCTACTGTACTCTACCTCTACTGTACTCTGCCTCTACTGTACTCTACTGTACTCTACCTCTACTGTACTCTACTGTACTCTACTGTACTCCACCTCTACTGTACTCTACTGTACTCTACCTCTACTGTACTCTACTGTACTCTACCTCTACTGTACTCTGCCTCTACTGTACTCTACTGTACTCTACCTCTACTGTACTCTACTGTACTCTACTGTACTCCACCTCTACTGTACTCTACTGTACTCTACCTCTACTGTACTCTACTGTACTCTACCTCTACTCTACTCTACTGTACTTTACCTCTACTGTACTCTACTGTACTCTACCTCTACTGTACTCTACTGTACTCTACCTCTACTGTACTCTACTGTACTCTACCTCTACTGTACTCTACTGTACTCTACCTCTACTGTACTCTACCTCTACTCTACTCTACTGTACTCTACCTCTACTGTACTCTACTGTACTCTACCTGTACTGAACTCTACTGTACTCTACCTCTACTGTACTCTACTGTACTCTACCTCTACTGTACTCTACTGTACTCTACCTCTACTGTACACTACTGTACTCTACTTTACTCCACCTCTACTGTACTCTACTGTACTCTACCTCTACTCTACTCTACTGTACTCTACCTCTACTGTACTCTACTGTACTCTACCTCTACTGTACTCTACTGTACTCTACCTCTACTGTACTCTACCTCTACTCTACTCTACTGTACTCTACCTCTACTGTACTCTACTGTACTCTACCTCTACTGTACTCTACTGTACTCTACCTCTACTGTACTCTACTGTACTCTACCTCTACTGTGCTCTACCTCTACTGTACTCTACTGTACTCTACTCTACCTCTACTGTACTCTACTGTACTCTACCTCTACTGTACTCTACTGTACTCTACCTCTACTGTACTCTACTGTACTCTACCTCTACTGTACTCTACTGTACTCTACCTCTACTGTACTCTACTGTACTCTACCTCTACTGTACTCTACCTCTACTCTACTCTACTGTACTCTACCTCTACTGTACTCTACTGTACTCTACCTCTACTGTACTCTACTGTACTCTACCTCTACTGTACTCTACTGTACTCTACCTCTACTGTACTCTACTGTACTCTACCTCTACTGTACTCTACTGTACTCTACTGTACACTACTGTACTCTACTTTACTCTACTGTACTCTACCTCTACTGTACTCTACCTCTACTGTACTCTACTGTACTCTACCTCTACTGTACTCTACTGTACTCTACCTCTACTGTACTCTACTGTACTCTACCTCTACTGTACTCTACTGTACTCTACCTCTACTGTACTCTACTGTACTCTACCTCTACTGTACTCTACCTCTACTCTACTCTACTGTACTCTACCTCTACTGTACTCTACCTCTACTGTACTCTACCTCTACTGTACTCTACTGTACTCTACCTCTACTGTACTCTACTGTACTCTACCTCTACTGTACTCTACCTCTACTCTACTCTACTGTACTCTACCTCTACTGTACTCTACCTCTACTGTACTCCACCTCTACTGTACTCTACTGTACTCTACCTCTACTGTACTCTACCTCTACTGTACTCTACTGTACTCTACCTCTACTGTACTCTACTGTACTCTACCTCTACTGTACTCTACCTCTACTCTACTCTACTGTACTCTACCTCTACTGTACTCTACCTCTACTGTACTCTACTGTACTCTACCTCTACTGTACTCTACTGTACTCTACCTCTACTGTACTCTACCTCTACTCTACTCTACTGTACTCTACCTCTACTGTACTCTACTGTACTCTACCTCTACTGTACTCTACTGTACTCTACCTCTACTCTACTCTACTGTACTCTACCTCTACTGTACTCTACTGTACTCTACCTCTACTGTACTCTACTGTACTCTACCTCTACTGTACTCTACTGTACTCTACCTCTACTGTACTCTACTGTACTCTACTGTACACTACTGTACTCTACTTTACTCTACTGTACTCTACCTCTACTGTACTCTACCTCTACTGTACTCTACTGTACTCTACCTCTACTGTACTCTACTGTACTCTACCTCTACTGTACTCTACTGTACTCTACCTCTACTGTACTCTACTGTACTCTACCTCTACTGTACTCTACTGTACTGTACAGGAGTGAAACTGCATTTCCTTCAACCTGAGGATTATTATTTGTGAAAGGGTCTTTAGATTTGCCCAAAAATATAACTTGTTTGTTATAAAAAACAAACCTTGCCCAGGTGAAAAAAAGTAACGCAAAAGCAACTTTAGTTACTTTTTACTTGCCAACACTGCTTGGGTGCTAAAAAAAAATGTTCAAGGGTTTTCCAGGACCTACATTTCAAAAAGTCAGATTGAAGTACTTTAAGCACTGGTATGACCGCTGGCTGGTGTTTAGGGAAGTTCACGTGCATCGAGGTGAAGTTCCACCTGGAGAGGCAGATGGGATATTACCTGATCCAGATGTACATCCCCAGCCTCCTCATCGTCATCCTCTCCTGGGTCTCCTTCTGGATCAACATGGACGCGGCTCCGGCCCGGGTCGCACTCGGCATCACCACGGTCCTCACCATGACGACCCAGAGCTCGGGGTCACGGGCCTCGCTGCCAAAGGTCAGCCCGCTCACTCACTTCTCAACCAGAAATATGAGGGTCTGTAACATCATACACTCATTTGTTACACAAGTCTTTATTTCTCTATTGGTCCGAATATCCGGGTGAAACGCTTCAGCAACAAGAACACATGTGGGCGGGGCTTGACTGTGTCTGAGGGGAATTGATTGGATGGTTGTGGTTTGCTATTGGCTGAGCTCATGTGAGTGACAGGTTAAAGCCCCGCCCACATCATCAGAGAAGAGAAGCTGCAAGTTAATCGGATTCAAGATTATTAAACACATCATTATTGTTTTAATAATCTTGAATCAGAATAACTGTCGTATATTTTAAAATGAATTGTGCCATTTAGCAACACAAGACATCCAGCTTTTATTAATATGATATTCTAACATCAATCTAGTGATCAAATGCAACTGTAACAGAGTTGAATCTCAGGGAAGACGGAGGCGAACGTTAAACATCATCAAGAGTTGCGTGACGTCAGAGACTATTAATATTAACTGGAAAGAGTCCTGATTCATAACAACAAAAGCTGGAACACAATTATCAGGGAGATTCGCTTCTCTGTTCCATAACTCATTAATCCCATAATCCCTGCTCCTGTTTTATTGCCTTTTCTCTAATGACGACGCTGTTGTTTTCTCCAGAAATACGGCAGGATCATGTGACTCGATATGCAAATCAGTGAGAGATTTAGAGTGCATAACATAACGAACGTCAGCAGATCATAACACATCTGAAAATAAGTGATAATTCATGCATTTTCAGGTTTTGTTTATTAAA